AAGGAAGTCCCGCATGCAGAGAACAATAGTAACAAAAAGGTCTAATGGGATGAGTGGGATATGTTTTGGAAATGATAAAGACAACGTGTTCTATAAATACAAAGAAATTTGTTGTCACCTTTGTAGCTTATTTGAGAAAACTGGGCACATAATTTATAGCCTGGATTCCCATTTGAGGTAAAATGCAGTCAGATTGCAAGAACTGAGATTTGAGCCATAGAACTGATTACAGAGTAGATGGAAGTGGATTCCCTGCATTTAGATTTGCAAGGTGAGCGACAAGAAATGACCGTCTAGTAAATATGTTTAAAATAGCCAGGGATAATTTAACTTCAAGCAAATTATCCATCAAAGATTACTGAACACATTTTTTTTTTTTAAAGCAGATTTTACAAGCATGCTGGCAAGGAAAATTAAAAGGATTCCCATCTTAAATGAGTTAGCGAAGACATAGATTTGATTAGTGATATCCAATAAGCAGATGAAATTACATGTTAGAATGACTGAAGGTAAAACTATCACTTTTCTGTTGTGAAGGTAAAATGAGGAGTGTTCTAATCACAAGGAAAAATACAAGTAAAGCAACATAAAAACCTGCGTGGGGTTGTGTAAGGACTGGATGTCTGTGTCCTCCCAAAATGCATATGTTGAAATCCAAACCTCATAATAATGGGAGGTGATGAAGTGATGAGGGTGGAGCCCTCATGGATGGGATCCTATAAATCTGCCCTTACAGAGGGACCTCAGAGAGTGCCCATGCCCTTCTTCCACACTGTGAGGACACAACGGGAAGAGCCCTTGACCATGCTGGCACTCTGAACTTAGGCTTCCAGCCTCCAGAGCTGCGAGCAATAAATGTCTGCTGTTGATAAGACATTCAGTGTATGGTACTCTGTTATAGCAGCCTGAACTGACTATGGCAGGTTGGAAGTCAGAACTCAGATTCTCTGAATCCCAGCCCTGGCTTTCAGAGAATGTCAACTGTGGGGTGTGTGCATGTGTTTCTCAGGGCTGCGCCTGGACTCCTAATCTACAGCAGAATCGGCACAATTTCTGCTGCCTTATGGGTAGGAGAACAAAGGTAAAATGAGATCACTGTACAAAAGCATTTTGTAAATGAAATGTTATCTAAGTAATTCATTCATTCTTTGGATATTATCTTGAAATTGAAAAAAATATATATCTATAAGGAAATTTTCTCTGTTTATCACCACTACCTTCTACCCTTACTGGAAAACATTTTCATGAGCTATTTGGTTCAGAGTTAAAAAGAGAGTGGCAAGGAGAATAATTATTCAACCATAATTGATGTCAAGCAAAGTGGGAAAATCTCTTAATTTATTGGAGTCTAAATGTCCTTGGTTATGAAACCCAAATGATAAAATGCAGTGTTTTGTAAACTCTAGTGCTTAATACAAATGTATTTATTTTAATTCCTCTCTTAATCACTAGAACCCATTTCTCTAATTTTTTTTTGCTGCTGATATATTTTTGCTCTAATAAGTTTGAAAGAATTAAAATGCATTATTCCTGGATTCAGATACCTCCTTGGGAATTTGGTAAGAATACAGCGTATAATACACACAACATACAAAATAGATGTTAATTAGAAAATTATGTTATCAGTAAGGTGTCTAGTCAACAGTAGACTATTAGTAATTAATATTTGGGATATTTAAAGTCATATCCAGATTTTCAACTGCACACGGTACTGCTGCCCCCGACGTCTGCATAGTTCAAAGGTCAACTGTACATTGAACTATATCTGCATTTCCTTCTGATAAAACACCTCAGTTGGTTTGCTCCAACCCTAACCATTTATCTCATGAGCTTACATCTCACCCTTATCTCACCTTTTGCCTTGGGAACTTCAGCTCCATTCCCATTTAAGCCAAAAACAATATCTAATTTTCCATCCATTAAGGTAATGTCTTGTGATTCAAAACATACTTCAAGATTCTCCTTGCTGAGAAAGCTTGTTTCAAGGTCCCTGGAAGAGTCATGAGGATGCATTTGATTAATAATTGTAACTCTTCATATTCACAGAATGCCTCAATTAAAGAGTGCTTCTTCATATGTACATGACCTCATTGATTTTTCATTTATATAAGGAAGAAAGTAACATCTGTAATGAAGCTTTTTTACATGCATCCTTTCATCTGTTATAAAAGAATACCACCAATGTTTAAAAGAGGTGAAGTCCAGTATTTCTTGGCTAAGAAGCAGGACAGCTCAGATAGTACCCATTTCTATCAAAACCCAGGGCTCTTACTTTCAAGATTTTCTTTGGTTTGCTGCAGGTTGAGTATGGGGATATGCCTAGCTATGTCTGTTTGTTACTTATTCTGCTCTGTGTTCTCTGAGCTTCCTGGCTCTGTAATCCGGTACTTTTCATTATGTTTGGAAAGTTCTTGGTCATTGTTACTTCAAATATTCTTTCCCCACCATCTTCTCTTCTCCTTCCAATATTCTCATTACATGTATGTTATGCTTTTTGAAATTGTCCCACAGTTCTTGAAGGCTCTGTTATGTTTTTCCACTCTTTTTGTCTTTGCATTTTGGTTTGGAGAGTTGTTATTGACCTATCTTCAAGCTCAGTGACCCTTTCCTTGGCTGTGCCCTGTCTACTAATGAGCCCATCAGAGGCATTCTTCATTTTTGTTAGTGTTTTTGATTTCTAGCATTTCCTTCTGATTCTTTCTTAGAGCTTCTGTCTCTCTGCCTATATTACCCATCTGTTCTTGTATACTGTCTACTTTCTCCATTAGGATCTTTAACATATTAAACACTTATTTTAAGTTCCCTGTCTAATAATTCCAACATATGTATAATTTCTGAGTCTAGTTCTGAGGATTGTTTTTTTCTCTTCAGACTGTTTTTTGTTGTTGTTGTTGTTTTTGTCTTTTGTCATGTCTTGTAATCTTTTTGCTGAAAGTCACACGTGTTGTATGAGGTAATAAGAACTACGGTCAACAGACATTTAGTATGAAAATCTATGGTCATCTGGCTGGGAGTTTCGCTATTTAGCATTTACAGTGTTCTAGGTGCCGGAGGCCTCCAATTCTTCCAGCGCCCCCGTTTTTTTCTCTGCTTTTGACTCTGGCCTCCCTAAGTACTATTCCTCAGGGAGAGGGCAGGTCAGCTCTCTGAGATGGACTCCACTGTTATCATACTGGAGTCCTTTGATGTGGTGATAATGTATAGAGGAGGAGAAGCATTCTACAATCTCATGAACCAATCTCATTCTCTTAATGGGTCTGTGTCACGGAGCTGGGACTGTCACAAGCATTTCCTCTATTGGTATTTTCCCCCTGCCCCTACTCTTTTTTGAGTGCAGCATTCCCAATCTTTTCCCTTGGAACCGTGATCCATGTTGATTATGCTTTGTTTTTATCATATAATGAAGTACACAGGAAGTTCAGAGTCTACTGTTATGGGAGAAATGTCTTTTCCCTAGCTTGGATATCGCTCTAGTCAAGTCTTTTCTGATGGGGCAAAGGCTTTTGTTATGGACATATTTCACAAAGATTACTCTTCCCTTCCTCCCAGAGCCATGAGTGGATCTCTCACATCTTCATCTTGAGAACCTGTGAGTTTCCTGAAGGTAAAGTCCATGAAAGAATGTCCCCCCACCCCCACCCAAGACTGTGGCTCTCGATGGCTTCTCACTCATGTGAATCCACGCTCAGCTCTGAGCAATTCATCAAAGTTACCATTTGAGTGTTTCTACCAGTGTTTGGCTCCAGTGGCTTTTGCTCCAAGTCAGCAGACCTAGCCTTTGTCTCTCCAGATTTGGGGTTGACAGTTTGCCTTGCAACTTCAATTCCCTCATGAGTCCAAGAAATGTCATTGATTTTCCAAGAAAGAGTTCAGCTTCTTCTTGTAAAGATAGAATGATTTCCAAGCTTGTTATGTGTCAGAGCTGAAACCAGAAGTTCTAAATCTTTCCCTTTACCTGAGAGCCTTCACCAGATTCTAAGAAAGAAAAAGCAAAGTCTCCAAAATAATCCGGCATCTACTCATTGCTAATTTGTGTCTTAGGAAAGAGGAAGGGAATGCTAACATATTAATTTCTTTATCTGCCTGTCCTTTATAGAGGAAGAAGGCCAGCCAGAAAGTCACTGAAATAGTTTGGGGGCAAAAAAACTTAGGTGTACCACATTAAAAGAGGACAACAATCCATCCAGCCCAGTATCCCATCTGACTGTGTTGTGGGGGAGCAGACCAACAGAGATGAAAACAAATGTAGTGATGGATCTATTGTCCACCAAATCATGAGAACCCTTAAAATCACAACATCATAGCATGTCAGAACTAGAAGGTGGGTAGAAACTGCTCCTTTATGCTGTTGTTTAAATCCTGTAGACTTTCATAGAGGTGTAAAATGTCTTAAAAATATAGCACTAGTGATAATGGGAAAAAGAAGGAAGGCAACATCCACTTCTCTTCTTTCTATCTTATCATCAAGTCATTTGTGAACACATCATAAAACTATGTATATCATAAATCTGCTGTCACCTCCATCAGCTCTCCATTCCATCTGAGTCAGTGTCAGAGAAAGAAATGAGGAAGACGTTTATGCTCTTCTTGCTCATTGGTTCAAATGGTGAGGAAGACTGTATCAAGACAGACAGAGGGATGAGGCAACAGCAAGAATAATAACCCTAAGGCCACAAGTGTGTCATAAGAAAATATTTTTGCTAGACTTCAGATTCCCCAACATGAGTCATCTGAGGATAGTCCTGGAAGTGGTATTTTTGTTTTGTTTGTCTGGAATGTTATATAACTTGTTGTATGGTTGGTTGTCTTAGTCTTAGATGTCAGAATAGGAAGCAACCAAAAGTCAATCTTGTTTAACATTCTTCAGGCTATGCTTGAATCTTTTGGTTTGCCCGGGTCCAGGTGACCTCTCCTGAGGCCCCAGGTCCACAGGGCTCATTAATCCCCAACCAACTTACTTTATGTTCCAGAGCACTGGTTGTTACAAAGTTCTCTCTCTTGCTGAACCCAATTCTATTTTCTTGTAAATCCATGAATTGATCTTAATTATTGCACAAAATAAATATCTTTGACAATTGAGCTATTAGCCCACATATGAATTTTGTAGTTACTGGACACAGTATTTCTGAGACAAAATCTTGGATGAAATTCAACAATTCTTTCTTTCATTTTCAGGTATGTCAAAATAGATGAATCAAAATGCCTAGCCTCAGTGATTTAAGGAGTTCACTAAACTGACCTATAAATAAAGCAGCTGAAAGAAGTTTGGAACATAACACATAGAAATGTATTTATTTTTCTCCAAGGAGTGAATGAGCCCATGTCCCTGAGGGGCCCAGAGGGCAGGAATCTGCCCTCAGTTTGTGCAGATTAAAGACCACTTTCTCATCTAGAGTGGTAAGTGAGTGTTAATTGGAGGGAAGCGGTGAGTTACATTAAAGGAAGCATTTCCAATTCCAACTATTAAGATACACATGAAAATTGGCAGCTGTGGGTATATAAAGTGAGAGCATACTAGAGTAAATATTACAGAGAGAATGCCACATTCAGTCATGATAGGTGAGACAAATGAGTTCTTAGAATATTCTCTTTTTCAGAAAGACACTGGACCTTGAATTGGAAGAACTTGAAAAAATTAAAAGGCATGGAGACCTTATTGTCCTGAATGTGGTTTCAGGTAGGTGATTTGTTCTAATCTCAGCCAAAGTCTGAGCCCATTGCAGAGAAGGCAGCATGCTGGTGGCAGAAGGAGGGACATGGAGAGAGGAAGGCATGGAAAACATTGATCCAAGCGAAAATGGCCCTGGGAAGAAAGGCAGAGGTGTTTTTGTTTGTTTGTTTGTTTTATTATTTTTTTATTAATCTTTTATTTGAGTAGTTGTTACACAATGTCACATTGGCTTCAGTTGTACAACATACTGATTCAACTTCTTTATATGTTATGCTCACCACAAGTGTAGCCACCATCTGCACCCTACAACACTGGAGGTTCTTGATTTCCTCCAGTTGGGAACAACTGTGAGCATGGACAGCAGCAGTGACAGAATGGGCTCCAGCTCCTGAATCAGCAGGCAGCACGGAGGGAATGGCTTGTAATCTCAGCACCTGAGCTCTGTGTAAGTACAAAATGCAAACACCAGCTGAGCACCAAGTGATCAGATAACCACATGTACAAAGGAAGAGACAATGGCCAATTTATAATGCAATGTCATTAACTAAGAGAATTCAGAACCCGCAGGAGGATCTTGCTCTGGCACATTCCCAGAATCTAAGTTGATTGATTTTTTTTTAACTTTTATTTATTTATTTATTTATTTATTTATTTATTTATTTATTTATTTATTTATTTTTAATTTTTTTATTCTTATGTTAATCCCCATGCATCATTAGTTTTAGATGAAGTGTTCCATGATTCATTGTTTGTGCATAACACCCAGTGCTCCATGGAGAATGTGCCCTCCTCAATACCCACCACCAGGCTAACCCATCCTCCCACCCCCCTCCCCTCTAGAACCCTCAGTTTGTTTTTCAGAGTCCATCATCTCTCATGGTTCGTCTACCCCTCCGATTTCCCCCGCTTCATTCTTCCCCTCCCGCTACCTTCTTCTTCTTCTTTTTTTTATTCTTAACATATATTGCAGTATTTGTTTCAGAGGTACAGATCTGAGATTCAACAGTCTTGCACAATTCACAGCGCTTACCACATGAGTCATTTTGTTTAATGTATTATATGTGGTATGGGTAATAATGTCTTAATGATGATTCAAATTCAAACTTACTTGTCATAAAGAAAGATCATGTTTGAAGAAAATAATGATTAGGGGGCCACAGGTAGTAATTACTTTGAGAAAAAGTGATGCTTCCATCTGTAAAATCTTCCATCCTTATAGAAATTTATCTGACATAGCCCCATAGCATTTCCTTAAGCTTACTTTTGATTGGACAAAGCTAAAGTAGGCTTTCTTTACTGATTCATTTGTTTTAATAAATTGGCATCTAAAAAATTCATAAGCAACCTGTAACAAAACCTAACTGAATTTTTGTTGAGCTGTTTTTATTTATTTTTAAAAATTATTTATTTATTTATTTTATTATGTTACGTTAATCACCATACATTACATCATTAGTTTTTGATGTAGTGTTCCATGATTCATTGTTTGCGTATAATACCCAGTGCTCCATTCAGTACGTGCCTGCTTTAATACCCATCACAGGACTAACCCATCCCCCCAACCCCCCTCCTCTCTAGAACTCTCAGTTTGTTTCTCAGAGTCTATAGTCTCTCATGGTTCATCCCCCCTTTGATTTCCACCCCCTTCATTTTTCCCTCCCTGCTATCTTCTTCTTCTTCTTCTTCTTCTTTTTTAACATATAATGTATTGTTCCAGAGGTACAGGTCTGTGATTCAACAGTCTTACACAATTCACAGTGCTCACCATAGCACATACCCTCCCTAATGCCTATCACCCAGCCACCCCATCCCTCCCACCCCCCACCACTCCAGCAACGCTTGGTTTGTTTCCTAAGATTAAGAATATCTCATATCAGTGAGATCATATGATACACGTCTTTCTCTGATTGACTTATTTCACTCAGCATAATATCCTCCAGTTCCATCCATGTCGTTGCAAATGGCATTATTTCATTCCTTTTGATGGCTGCATAATATTCCATTATATATATATATATATATCTCACATCTTCTTTATCCATTCATCTGTTGATGGACATCTTGGCTCTTTCCATAGTTTGGCTATTGTGCACATTGCTTGTTGAGCTCTTTTTAAAATAAGATTCCTCTATCTTAGGATTCTCAACACCAGCTTACCTCCTTTATAGACAGACCAAAAAAAGGAAAGTTCTTGGTGCTTTACTTTGAGGAAAAATGTCTTAATTTTGAATATGTAAGAAAAAGAGTGTAATGCATATTTTATCTTATTGCATATACATACAGCTATTACTTGGGTTTCTTTGTGAACTTCACAGCTGGAGTTACAGACTGATGATCATTTCATGTACCATCCTAATATCCATGGCAGTTATTCAAATGAGTTATTTAACTGACAAATATATTCAGACTTTAGAATAGGTTATGTGTTCATTCTCTTAGTGTTCAAGGGTAATGCAAAGCTCAATGCCAATTAGTCTAGAAGTTTCTTGGAGGGGTGAACAGGGGCAGGAACTACTCTTGTTTCTCACAAGGCTGAGCTTATTGTGAGACTTTAAATGAAAAACAAAATAGGGGCACCTGGGTACTCAGTCAGTTAAACATCTGGCTGTTGATTTTGGCTCAGGTCACAATCTCAGGGTTGTGAGATTGAGCTCTGCATCAACTCCATCCAACATGGAGTCTGCTTGAGAAACTCTCTCCCTCTCCCTCTGCCCCTCCCCCCTCACTAAAATCTTAGAAAGAAATAAAAACAAAATAATGGGTTGTAGAAAATGAATCTCTAATTTCTATTTTTAAGATTTTATTCGAGAGAGAGCGAGCACGAGTGAGAGAGCACAAGCAGGGGGAGTGGCAGAGGGAGAGGGAGAAATGGGTTCCCACTGAACAGGGAGCCCAATGTGGGGCTTTATCTCAGGACCGTGGATCATGACCTGAGCTGAAGGCAGCTGCTTAACTGTTTGAGCCACCCAGGCACCCCTAATCTCTAATTTCTAACCTAGTTATTGAGCAAATTATTTGAGGTTTATTGGTCTCTCCTTACCCAACGTTGATATAGTAGTTACTTAATTATACCACCATCATAAACAAAAGCAATCATTTATGGTATGCTTTTCTAAATTAAAAAGCACAAGGCAATACCCCCCACCCTAAACACACACATGCACACACACACACACACATTCCAAATAGCAGCTATCTGAATCTGAATCTCTCCACATATCCTTCAAAGAGCACACAGGACAATGAGGATTTCAAGAGTCACCTATAAACCTTATCTACAACAAAACAAGGAGACAAAGAATAATATAAACTGTAAATGTAATTGGGAAAAGCATTCTGAACAGCGAGCCAGGCTCAGCATCCAGGCGGCAGCAAGGGTTAAATGTCAGAGAAAGATCGCAGCGTGGTGTGGCAGTGGTGGAGGACGAAAACATTTCCTCACCCTCTTAGGGTGCTGGCTGCATCGGAAAATTAATTTGACAGAGGCAGCTTAACAGGAGAAATGTGTACACATTTCTTTGATATAAGTTTGAAATCACAGAGCAGCCTTCAAAAGAAATGAAAAGCCAAGGAAACAGAGCTGTGTATTTTTATTTTAGGTCTGAGGAAGACTGGATGGTCATGGAGGAATATGATAGGTTAAGGAGAATGAAGTTAAGTGTAGTAAATGGGTGTCCTTTTGTCTTGGGAGATAATGATGTTCCTTTCCTTTGGGTACCCTCCAGGTACACGGAGAGCACCTCTCATGTGAAGACTCTGTGACCTGTTTCAGAGACGAGGGGTGAGGGGTGTGGAGGTCAGAGTGACCTTCCTGCTTCTGCCTGTTTCTCAAAGTCCCTCAGCTTAAAATATGCAATAGGCCAGTATGCCATATTTGGGGGTAGTATGTCCTGAACTTTCCCCATCATAGTGGTGGAATGAGAAGGCACCTCCAGGAGAAGAAGGGCCTCTCTCTCCTTTTTTTTTTTTTTTAAGATTTTATTTATTTATTCATGAGAGACAGAGAGAGAGAGAGAGAGAGAGGCAGAGGGAGAAGCAGGCTCCCAAGGAGCAGGGAGCCTGATGTGGGACTCGATCCCAGGACTCTGGGATCATGACCTGAGCCAAAGGCAGACGCTTAACCATCTGAGCCACCCAGGCGCCCCATGGAGGGCCTCTCTTGAGTAGGCCGATGTTGAGACTAGGTCTGAGACCTTGGGGATCAAAGCCCTGGCTAATGTGGGATTAAAATGCCTCTGGCCTTCCCCTTGCTTGTGCTCTCTCTCGCTCTCTCTCAAATAAATAAATAAAATCTAGAAGAAGGAGAAGCAGCTTAAAATTCATCAGCCTGGAGGTGTTAGTCTTCCGGGGAAGAGGGAGCCAACAGGGAGGCCCGAGAGGGAAGGAAAGAAATGTAGCAAAAGGCTATGTTATTGGAAGAAAAGAATATTTCTTATCACAGGGCACTTTGATGACCCTACAAATTAGAAGACAATGATGAAGCAGACCCCACTTCCAAAGGGGAAAAAAAAAAGAAAGAAAAGAAAAATACTTAAACATTATAAGAAATGGGCTAAAACGAAAGTGAGGAAGAGTATAAGACACTGCAGAAAAACACTTAATAGATTTGAATAATAAGGAAGATACTCCTTGTTCAGGGATACAACAGTACAACATTATAAACCTGCCCATTCTTCTGAATCAACATACAAACTGAATACAATCAAAATAAAAATACCAATGAGTTTGGTTTATTTTTCCCTTGGGCTAGACATTTGATTCTAAAATGTATATAGATTCTTAAAAAATATGGCATAATAGCCAAGGAAACTCTGAAAAGAAAGTAAAGGGGTCTTCACCCTATGAAATATTATAATATTCCATCAAGCTTCTGCAGGTAAGCAATGTGGAAATGTTCCTTGAGCAGACAGACCAGTGGAACAGAGTAGAAAGTCCAGAAATAGATTCAACTATATGGAACATTTGTATGTGATAAAGGATGCATCTCAAATCATTGGGAAAATCTTGAACTTTCTCATAAATTGTGTTAAGACACCTAGATTCATTGATGAGAAAGTAAAATTGGATTTATACTTCACATAAGAAGAAACCCCAAATGATCAGTGATCTAAAGGTAACATTGAAACCATGTAAATGTTCTATTTGGAACATAATCTTGGAGGGAAGAAAAATTCAAAATCCAGATACCATAAAAGATTGATAAAATCAACTCTGTGTATGGGTGTGAGCATGTGTTTCAATGTAGCGAATAGAACAGAATTAACCATCAAAGCTAAAATAAAATAACATGCTTTTCACCTGAAGAATCTTTTTGTTAACCAAAATGTTTTACCTATTTTCAGGTGAGTAAAAACAGGGCAATATCCAGATGGAACTTCGTGAAATTTATAAATCTCAGCGCAAAAAGCACATCCTCAAGTATTCAGGCAGAAAAAGTCAATTTAC